GTCTCTCGGTGGCGCTATCGCACTGCTAATCACTCTCCGGCAGGGTGATTCTGCTCCCCGCCGGCCGTTCGACGGTGTCGTTTTGAATGGAGCTATGTGTGGGATTAGCAATAAGTTTAAACCGGCGTGGCCTTTGGAGTATCTCCTTGATATTGCCGCTTTTTTTATCCCGACTTGGCCGGTAGTTCCCACTCGCGGCTCGTTGCCTATGGTTGCGTTCAAGGTAATGAGATAAAATCGCTTCTGTTTAAATTTGAAATGAAATCCGTTGGTGTAAATTAGATATTCACGATTTTGTGGCAAATAGTTATTAAATTATAATTTTGGTTATGGAATCATGTGCAAATAATCTTAAAATATAAACTTTTCAGATAAAAATTATTAATCGTTAAATATTAATTAAGAAGCAAGACATGAAATTATTTCTCGTAGTGGACAACTTATTTTTTTCTATATTTTTAACAATCCACCTCTTGTTTTTAGTACTTGCATTTTTTTTCCCTGTCAAATAGTTAAGAATACTAAACATGTCATGTTATAATCCGCCTTATTTGAGCATATTAGATCACATTATTTTAATAAAATTCTTACTATGACTTTATTTTTCATCTCAAAATCAAATAAGTCTTACTCATCACTCTACACAAATTCCTTTTTTTTTTATTCTTTACTTATATTATTGTATTATTCAATATTTACTATTATTATACTATCATATGATCTTTTATTAGCTTACCAATTATTTTAATATTTTGCTTATTATTCTTTTAATAGTCATTAATAAATAAACATAAGTATTATTCAATTATTTATTTTATTTATTTTTAAATTAATCTAAAGTATAAGTATCCTCACAATGTCTCTATTTTCTTTTTTATACATTCTCTTCCCTACTATAAATTTTTAATTAATATTTTACATTAATGTTTTACCTATAACTAAAATAATATCACTTTTTATTTAAATTGTAACTTTGGATTAGTCTAAATATTAATGCATCAGCTCTTTGATTATTATATTTCAAATCTATTGAGTTTTCTTATAATTATTTTTTGTATTACATGCAATTAAATTTTCTTTCTCTTTTAATTTAAGATACAAATTCAATTTTTTCGTTAGTAAAATTAATTGCATTAGACAGTTACTTTGTATTTCTAAAATTTTAATTTGTTATCATATTTTTATTAATAAGAATTCAATTTCGTGGTCTTATCTATGTTTGAGCGTTCTTATCATAATTTAAAAAAAAAAACTGATCTTAAATTCAAATAATCTTTTCCTTTTAATTCTAATATTAAATTTTTAAATATTTACTTTAATTTTGCTATTATGTTATCTAATATATAGTATCATCACGTTTTATGTGGCTTTTCATTAACTTGTCACTTTATTTAATATCATTATTCACTATTATCCTTTAATGTAATATATATAGATATGTAAGTTTTTTTAATATTGAAATATATATTTATTTTATTGAAAAATATTTTTCTCAATTTTTTGAATTATTTAAATTTATTGGTCATAAATATTATCACATTATCTCCAACTTATTTTATTATTTAGTATTTTTAATTTTTATTTTATCTATTAGACTTGAGTTATGTGGCCTTATAACTTTCTTATCATTAAGAAAAAAAAACTTTCTCATCGCAAATTTAAATAAGTTTTATCATTATTTTTCTTTTTTTGAACCTTATTTTTGCTATTATATTATTTCATATTTAACATTATTACATTGTCATGTCGCTTTTTATTTGTTTGTTTGATTTTAGTATCCATTTCTATCACACCCATTCTAATATAATACAGATAAAAATTAAAGATTATTTCAATAGTAACTTTGACTCTATTGCTCATATTCCGAAATATGATTTTCTTTTATATATATATATATATATATATATATATATATATATATATATATATATATATATATATATATTATAATAATTAATAATTC